GAGAGAGGATTTTGTCCATCCACCGTACTGCTGCGCCCCTGCTGTTTCTAGAAGAAACTCCTGTTGAGGGGCCCCCTTTTTAGGTTCCAGTTCCTTGAATTTCCTCATAGGCAGGGGCCGCACCTCCCGTGAGCCGAGCCGTTGGACCGCATATTGCGCGCCGTGCGCAGCCCCGTCCGACCTGGAAGACTTCTGCAAGAACTACCCGGAATTCAGGGCCAGCCGCGGGCGGAGGGTCCCGCCCCATTCAGTGCAGTTCCCGTGTTTTATGGGTCATATGTGGCGAGTGAAGGAAGTCCGTTTCTTGATTCTTGTGAACTTGTGTTTTTCCGGAATTCAACATTTGGCCTGGAAGGGAATGGAACTCTTGGAGCTCTTTGTGGCGCAATCCCTTTTCAAGGTGCATAGGAACTTGGATGGCCGAGGAGTTCCAAGCGAAGCGTTGTCACTTGGTGGGGTCCAAGTCGTCTTGACAGTGTTCACAGCTGCATGACATGGTCGGATGTTTGTGACCGCGCGTTTGGCGGTCGTGTTTGAAAGTTGCTTGCTCGCTGAAGCAGCCTTCATCACAAAGCCTTCTGGCATCTTTTGTTAGTGAGGAATGGGACGTTCACAGCCCGATATGGCTCTCAAGTGGAAACTGGTGCCCAATACCACGTCTGAAAATTGATCAAAACTCGCTGCACCATTCAAGGGCGCGGGGTTCTTTGTCCCTTTTGTTGGAGGATCGCCATTGCAGTTTCCTGGGCAGTGTGAGGTGTCCTTTTTAACTAGGGCAATGCATGGGTAGGACAGGAGTGCGATTTTTATGTGGTGGATATCATTTGGATGTCTATGCCCACCGGCCATTTTGCAGGCATTCCTTCCAGCCATTAAAGAACCGATAGCCATATTATGAGCCACAATTAACCAGAGTAGATGAAGGTTGGTAAGGACAATCCCAACCAGAAATAGCTGCAGCCGCCTTCTTGATTCTTTACATGGTTCTGGGTCCCCTCATACAGGGCAACGGACAAAGCTTCCAGGGTATCGGTTTTAGGTGGCCCCTCTCGGCTGCTGGTGGTAATGTTGGGTACTCACACTAGAGATGGTCATCAGCCACTTAGGGAGTTTAGACACCTTTGAGAAAACCTAACTCATGCAAAATTTCTCAGGGACCATGGCCCACATTTTGAGACTGACCATGGCTTATCTGCGAGTTTCTCAAAAAGGTGCTTTGACCCTCTCGGTTGGCATGTAAAGGAAAGCCCAAAAGGACACTGTTGCCATTATGGGTGACCGACTCCTTTCTCTTGCACGCCCACTCTGGGTGTGTCGTTGTTTTTCCTTCTTTTTTTTCCTCCCGATGCCCTTTTGGGATGGTGTTACAGGGGACCAACAGGACGAGACGTTTGATCTAGGCAATGGTGGCCGAAGCTGGGCTGCTGCCCAGTGGGCCTCCCAAGCGTAGTGCCGCCAGCTCAGTTAACGGCGGGGGGAGGCCGTCTGCCCGACAGAAAACGAGGTTACAAAATAGGCTGGGGGCTCTTCAAAACAACCTAAAAAGGGGTACCCTCCGACTCAAAGCATGTTTAGCCTGCGAACAGGTGGTTCCAGCAGCGAGCGAGAGAGACAGAGAGAGAGAGAGAGCGAGAGATGTCTAAGCAAGGTGATTGGCCCAATGCTAGCTGCGGCTTTCATGTTGCACATTCGTCGTTGATTCCTTTCGCAGCGGTTATCAGCATGGCTCTTCCATCGTGTGAGGTTAAACGCATGCCATTCCGACCTGGCACCTGACACAAGTGATGGTGTTTGAGTTTGACTCCTCTCCCGTTTTGGCTGGCCACCCTTGATATAGAATCCCCCGTGGGGTCCCTTTCTTTACACACCAAAAAGGGGCTTGTTCCAAAGCCGAATCCTGGCAGAAGTTCTGGAGCCTCCGTTAGGGGTGTCAGTTGCCTCAGCGAGCTAAGGCCCCTGTGGGCAAGGCCGGGGCGCCATTCGCCTGTTTTCACACCTGCGAACTGAATATTGGGAAGCATGCGTTCAACCTAATGTAGCCCTTTAGAGGCTAACCCTGTTAGAGGGCCCCGTTATGTCCGAAGGCCAGCTGGCAAACCAAGGTGAGAATGCATCTCAAGACAAGTTGGAAGCTTCCAGCTGGTCGACTTCTTGGCATCCTTTTGGGGCTTCCTTCTGAAACATGCACGAAACGTGGCAAACAACTTGAGTTTCCAAAGGCGGCTTGGGGAAACAAAGGTGCGGAGGACAACTTGTAACTTGAACTCCATTTTGGGCACGTGTTTGGGTCCCATAGCTTAATGCGCATAGCCTCGAGCAGAATTGAAGTTTGGTTTGGCCCTGACGCCAAATGTATTGCACCCTGCTGCCGTTCCATGTTTTGCCGATACAGCGTCATAAATTTGTTTGCAGAGCGGTACGAGAACGACCTGCGTAGATCCATCGGTTTGTTGCCCAGGGCAATTCTTGGCCCCACGTACCCGCGGGGAGCCCCAGTATCCTCAACCGTTTGTCACACAGTTGCAACATGTTGCGATCGTTCCAGGTCACCCAGGTGCAAGACAATTGCTTGCGAAGGCATGCAGGGGCTGGGCGTTCTATGAACTCTGGCTGGGCTTCTGGGTGCGACATGGACGGCTCGGCAACAACCCGCGGTAGAACTGCTTTGTTTGCGGACAGAAGCAACAGCAACAGCCGCAGCAAGTCTGGAAGCAACTGTAACTGGCTGAGTTGCCAGTGTCACTGCATAAGCATTGTGAGCAACGGAATGTGCCCGGACAGAAAGGGTTGAACTCGACCGCAGCCTGTGTGTTTGGCTCACCAAACGGATCGAGCTGCCCTTGAATCAGGCATCATGGCTAAAGCTCAGAGAACTCCCGCTGGCACCGCCGATAAAAGGGCAACCATGGTCTACCACGTGTTTTGCATTGGCCAGCCACGTGACGATTCCCCCATGGCCCGTCCGCTCTTCTCCCCTCCCCCCTCTTCCGGCAGAATATCCTCCACATGTTTGCATCTGGAAATCTGTCTCATCAGGACCTGATCCCAGTTTGGGCCTGAATGACTTTGTGGGTGTTTGTTTAGAAGTGCTATTCTCAACATCTTAGCACCCCCTGAGTCGTACATGACGTTATTGGGCCCGCAAGCCTTGGTTCACCCGCCCGTCGAGTTTAAAATCGTTCTACGAAAAGGTCCTTTCCAATTCTAGGACGCCCTGCCGTATATGATCACAAGTTCACAAGCGATTCCTTTTGCATGATACCCGCTATGGTAGGCTAGGTCGTGTTATACGACGTAGGGGTGTTAAATCAAAGTGTCTGAAGCAATGATCGGTATGCGATATTCACAAAGATTCCAAGCCAGGTTCCCTCGCGGTCCGGTCAACACTTCCAATCGTCAATGGTACCTGCGAATTTCCCTATGTCCTTTGAGACAGCTCCGCCTTCTCCCAGGGCCCGTAGGGTGAGCGTGGCCAATTGTTTGGAATTGGTTCCGCGTTCTGCACACTTTCAGATGGATACCAAAAAAGGCCCGTAATTTTGGCCTGGCTTGGCCGGATTTGGGCGTCTAGGCGCCTAGGCACTGCATGCACTTAGGCAGCACACGCGGCACCGGTGCCGCATGCTCCGCATGCTCCAGCACACGCGCCGCCCCAGTCGTTTGCCGGAGGTGGGGTGCGACTACAGGAAACCACCTTGAGACAGAGCCGTTTGGCCATGTGTTTTGTCTTCAATTGTTGGAAGGGCATCTAAAATGGTTGGCAGATATGAAACTCAGGCAGGTGATGTCTACAAAATAGCTCCCATACCCACACACGCACATTGAGAAGCTCGATGATGCTGGCGGGGAGAGAGATAATATGTGTATATATATAGATATATGAATACACACGCGTGTGTATGTGTGCGAAAAAAGGACCTTCCGCCCTCAAGCCGACTAGCCTTCAAATCTGTCGTTCCTGTTCACTCGTTGTCCTGTGTACGCTGACGCCTCCTATTCTGGAAGAGATGCAGGAGGAAGCTCCGCATGGCCGCTGTAGCTTTGGGGAAGCCTGGCTAAGGGCAAACATCTACGCATGGGAAGCAGTCGTTCGGGTTTCGCCACTATGACATCATGGTAAAAAGGTTTCAGTGGCAGGCAAGTTTGGGAGCATCTTGTGTGACCCTCACAGCAGGCTTCCCGCCCTTTGTGTGGGCGACGCTGGATGCTTCGGCAGGCTTAGTCCAGGACTGCCTCGCACCATGGCAGATCAGATCAAACCACCCGGCTTCAGAGGGTCATCCTTACTCAAGCTAGGATAGTTCGGGGCCCTGCATCTCTCAAAACAAGCTCGAAGCCCACCCTGACGAGCCTTGATCCCCAAATAAAGACTTGGTATCTTGGTTGGCTTACTTGAGCTTCCCTTTAACAACCAGCTAGGAGGGGATCCTCAGTGTTTTGACACGCCCAGGTGGATTTCCGGCTATGCATGTTTTGTTCCTGTGAGGATGGTCTGCCGCCAGAGGGCTTGTGCGTCTATCACGACAAGCAAAGCTCCGCGGAACTGGCGCGTTCGGTATCGAACGAGCCTGTTGGGTTTTGTCAGTGGCCCATGTTGGTTGGGCGCTTTTTTTGGAGGGTACCGTTTCACCTTAGTTATGGTTGAAAGGGAAAACAAAAGCAACGCATTCTGCTTTTGATGGCAAGTTTCAGCGGCCGATTTAAGGCCGAAAGGTCGAGCTTTTTGTTCCAGGCCTTGGTGTCGTCTTCTCGTCTGTCAGGGGCCCTAGGCGGCTTTTAATAAACGGGCTCCAGCTTGCACCAAGCAACAATCATGTGTCGCTTCCTGCAACATTTGTTTGCACCCATTTAAGGTCACGCAAATCTGACCGCGCCAGGACCTGTTCCGCAGTGGTCAGTCCATCCTGCAAGAGGCAGGTCCCAGAGCCATTCAAGCGCATTCTAAATGCATCTAGCGTGAGGGACGGTGCAACCTCGCCAAGTTCTCAGCTCATTGCTGTAGACATGCTGCACCTTTGGGACTTGGCTCAAGCTCACATCAAGATATGTCACTCGGTGGCTACACGACTCGTTCGGAACTGGACTTTGATGACGTGGTGGCGCGGTCGAGCACCTGGACAGGAGGGACCGTCTGCAGACAGATCGCGTCCCACCATGAAGGCATCCAAAGCGACACAAAGTGCCACTCAGTTGTCCAGATAGGACGTTGGGACGTCATGGCGTTGCCAATTTTGGCCTTGAAACATTTCAATCAGCCCAACAGCGTATCACCTTGCCTCAACCCAAGCTCTGGTTCTACCTCATGGGTGTTTGGTTTTAATTGTACATTCCCCCTACCCTCTAAGCTTTGTATGGAAGGAGTGTGTACCCCGAATAACGGTCCCTTGCCCATTGATTTTCCCTGGGGCCCTACTTTTTCACAGATTGGAGTGGAGATGGCCTCTTCGAGTTTGTTATGTTTTAGGGGCCCTCTTTTTCCAACCTCAGACCCGTTTTCGTGAGCTTCCTTGGCCCAATTCCTTTCATCGAGGCTACGGCGGGCGCTTCACCTACGGCCAGTGGCGGCGTTTCTTCGCATTTCGCGTGGAGCGGTCTCCGAGTGTGCTGGATGCCCGGGCCCGCGAAGGCCCGACCCACTTCTCGTGGCTTGGGCAAACGGATCGCGCGAACCCTGAAACTGATGGTTCGCTTGATCCGCCTCCCCTCCCCCGCTCAGAAAAGAAATGCACAAAACAGCCACAATCGTATGCGCAATTTCTCATGGCCATAGAACCTGAAATTGCACAGCGAAATCCATGGCCTTTTCAAAGGTTGGGCCATTTCGCAGCTTGATATGGAACCACAATAGAACTAATGGTGAGCCGCTCCTTTAAGCCTTTGCCGGTTGACGATAAGGCCGTTTCTTTAGGGCCTAATGGCCTAAGGAGTATGGGTTCCTTCCATCAGCCTTTCACCTTTCAGCTCAGATGGGGTTCGTTTGGGATATGTCGGATGGAGTGTAATCTTTGCATTGGCCTTTTGGCTATGCAGATCTGTACGCGTACCAGCAGGAAACAAATTGCAAATGAGAAAGTGGGGAGAAAATCCACCCAGGTGGCAGAGACCCTTCGTGGAGTTCTTTCGGCCGGAGATTTGGCTTCTGATCTTGCTCACTTGGCGAAAAGAATCGACAAACGTAGCGGTTCGGCTTTCTGGTGTTGGTCTTCTTTTGGCAACTGTTGATTTGGACTATTTGGTTCACCTGTTTAGCTTTACGACATCAGGCCGGATCGACTCAGGCTGCATTCGGATGCGGCTGCCATGGGACGGCTGGCCAGCTGCTGCTGGGCCCACGCCCGACTCTATCTGCCCTGGCAGCGCCGAGGGGTTAAGCGAGAAGATCCTCTGTGCCGCGGCCAAGACCGCCCGGAGCAATGAACCTTGCGGATTTCTTGGGTAGGGGTTCCATGGGGGTTGGGGGACAGCAATAATGAATAGGAATTAACATCATGGTGAACAACCGGTTGTGGGTGCACATATATAGATCACAAGTATGTTCGAACTACCTAAGAAAGGAAGAAGACGGCAAGGAAGCCAGTGAGTAAGCCAGTAAGGAGGCTCCTTTTACCGTTGAGGTTTCCGCGCCAGGTTTCGGGGTGTCCGGCTTGCCCCCTCTTGGGCTTGGTTGCTGTGCTCCTGATCGTGGATGCTTTGGCACTGCTTCGTCTTGGCCAATCCGAACAAATCTGTCGGCAAGCTTTCGGGTGACCCGTTGGTCGGTTTAGGATCATCTGAAGCAGGTACGCATGTCCCTGTCTAGGCAGGCGTTTGCTTGCTACCCAAATATTTGCGCGAACGCACTAGGGTAGGGGTAAAAGGATCGCTTCCAGCTGTGAAGGATCATGAAGGATCCTTTGGGGCCAGGCCACTTAGTTCACGCTTAGAGCAATTGCAATCGCAGCAGCGCCAAATATAACGTGGGTTAGCGCGGTTGTTCGCTGTGGCGGATTTGGCTTAATTGCTGTGGCTTTGGCTTTGGCCTCTCTTGTTTGCAACCAGCACATTTTTCAGGTGTGAGCCCGAGATGCATGTGGCGCAGCTGGCAGCGAGGCTGCGGTGTGGCTTGCCATGGGCGGAGGACGCCTTGTCGGGGGTTGGTTTGCCTGCAGAAGCCGGCCACGGCCATTTTTATGTTTACTTCCTTCTTCTTCTTTTTTTTGGGGGGGGAGGTGTTCTTTTTTGTGTGTGTGTGTGTGTGCGCGCCCCACTTTCAATCATAAGATACCCGTGCTTTTCCTGAATGGAAGGGTCACTTATTGCCCTAGCTTCGTTTGGTGCTCACAACAACAACTGGGCGAGTGAAGGTTAGAAGGGTTTTCCTTCAAAACACCCAAGCAAGTGGCACTTGCAACCTGAAAGAAAACATACTGAGATGATGGCACGGAACCAAGGAATTCCGATGCGCCGTAGTAAAACCTCCCGCGGCCATGTAGAGAATTCAAAGGACGGGCCCTGGGAGGTCCCCTGAACAAAACCCATTTGGGTGTTTCTTGAAGGCATCTCCCTGAGGAGCTGTTAGACCTGGAGGAGATCTCTCCACCTGTGGGGTCCTGGCTGGAGCTGTTGTATCAGCAAGAAGCCCAAGGCAGGGTGGGTACACTCCACTGACGGAGACCCAAAGGCGGAAGTTCTCTGGGGCTTTCCTCAGGTGTCATGTTAGGAGGGGCCACCATGTTAGTGAGAGAGCCCAGAGAAAGGCAACACCGTAACTTTGCGAATGGAATCTGGCGATGAGGCGCTTGGCTTTGCTTGGTGTGCACGGGCCACCGCGGCGAGCTCGTACGAAACTTTTGCGCGGCCGTCGCCTTGGCGGAGCAACGGCCGGATCCAGAATCTTGGATGCGCGGTTTCGGCGCGCTTGAGCACTGAAACTTTATTTAGGGCTGCCAATGCTCACGTTCCAAACCTATGACTGCTGGTTGCTTTCTTGAACACACGTTGGTGGCACCATGTGGCACCGGTAATTCCATTTGGTGGTTTGAGTTCATAGTTGCGGATTCAAAATGGTTCCGGCCGAAAGTTACCTAGGCCCCAAAACTTCGATCCCTCAACTTTGGACCTCAATCTAAGCTTTTTCTTTGTGAAGCCCAATGGGTTCCATGCGGCAGCTGTTGCAGAATCCGAGGACTGCCCTGTGATCATTGCCTTGCTGCCCTCGGTGCAGCATGTGCACGTGACCGCTGGCAGCCGCGTGTGTATTCAGAAGGCGTGGGTGGTTTGTTTGTTTGGAGGTCCCGTTTTTGCATGTTTTGGCCCATTCCAGGGGTTCACCCATTTGAAGACGAACCCGGCCATATCTTATAATTAGTATGTGTTTTTAGTTTGCTTTTCAAGGCGGCACACACTAGGATTGCGTGAATCCCACTGGTGGCAATGGAAAAACGGCTAGCTTTGCGCTAGACTTTTGTTCAGCTCCTATGATGCCCATGACTGAATCCTGAAGAGTTGATGCAGCCGTCCGGTAGACACTGTGGTTCAGAGTCACTCATGTTAAGCTTCCCGGTCCTGTCTGCAGCTGCCAATTGGTGAAAAGTTGCGATTTTGGAGCTGGAGCTGCCAACGTGCATGTCGTGTACCACAGCTAAACAACCCACAAGCCGCAAGCGGGCAAGGAATGACTTGGCACAGAAACATAGCTCGAGGTAGCAAAGTGGCGGGCAAGCAGCTTGCGTAGGCATCCGCGTAGGCCAGGAACACGAAAAGACGCACGCGTAGGAAACCCTTGCAGTCACGGAGGCTTGCGCCGCGTGTGTGCCGTGTATCGGCCCCAAGCACCCAAAAAATTGCCCATTTGAAGGCAGCAGTGGCATGAAGGCATGCGCAGGCATCTGTTGCCTGATTTTGCCAGCCATATTTTTTGCGCTAGGGACGCGCTAGTTCGGCGCTAGCAGAAGATGCACAAAGTGTCCTGGGGGAGCAGGGACGGTAGGGGCGGCCAACAGATGTGCTTGAAGATGCGCTCATCCAAAAGCATGCTTTGCTGGCAGCAAGTAGGCAACTGAAGAAGCACATCTCCTGCATGGCTGCTGCCTTGAAAAAAGTGCAGCAAATACTTCCAGCACTTGGACCCTGGTGGAGTTAGCTGCCATTCTCCGAAGCTTTCGTGAAAGCGTGAAAGACGCAGCCGCACTAGTTTGATTCCCAGGAAAGGGTTTCGTGGAGTTTGATACGTGTTTTGATGCCTTGCAAGTTGTCGTTTGCGGTTAGAGGCGGCACGTTCTTGGAATGCTGACTTATTTCGCGTTTCGGGCACTGCTTTTTGACGCTCTTGGGCTACCTGCTCTGCATGTGCTCTCGCGGTACTTGCTCTGCATCTGCTCTTGCCCATGTTCCTCTGTAATGTCTTCTCGTGCTACTTTCTCTGCGTGCATGGTCGCTCTGTGTGTGCTCTCGGTATCTTTCTGTGTGCGTGCTTCGTGCCAGTTGGCTTCGCGATGCGGCTGGCAAACTCACCGGAAGAACGCTTCGCACCACTTTCGGAGCAAGAGCGGGAAACCATGTTGTTACTTGTTGTTGTTTGTTGTTGTTCTTGTTGTTCTTGTTCTTGTTGTTGTTCTTGTTGTTGTTGTTGTGGTGATGGTGGTGGTGGTTGTTGTTGTTGTTGTTCTTGTTCTTGTTCTTGATCTTGTTCTTGTTCTTGTTGTTTTTGTTCTTGTTCTTGTTGTTCTTGTTCTTGTTCTTGTTCTTGTTCTTGTTGTTCTTGGTGTTATTGTTGTTCTTGTTGTTGCTGTTCTTGTTCTTGTTCTTGTTATTGTTCTTGTTCTTGTTCTTGTTCTTGTTGTTCTTGTTGTTCTTGTTGTTCTTGCTGTTCTTGTTGTTGTTGTTCTTGGTCTTGTTGTTGTTGTTGGTGTTGTTGTTGTTGTTGTTGTTGTTGTTGTTGTTGTTGTTGTTGTTGTTGTTGTTGTTGTTGTTGTTGTTGTTGTTGTTGTTGTTGTTGTTCTTGTTCTTGTTCTTGTTGTTGTTGTTGTTCTTGTTCTTGTTCTTGTTCTTTTTCTTTTTCTTGTTCTTGTTCTTGTTATTATTCTTGTTATTGTTCTTGTTGTTCTTGTTGTTGTTGTTGTTGTTGTTGTTGTTGTTGTTGTCGTTGTCGTTGTTGTTGTTGTGGTTTGGTGCTGTTGTGTTGTTGTTGTTTTTGTGGTTTTTGTTGTTTTTGTTGTGTTTGTTGCTGTCGTTGTTGTTGTTGTCGTTGTCGTTGTGGTTGACGTTGTCGTTGTCGTTGTCGTTGTCGTTGTCGTTGTCGTTGTTGTCGTCGTCGTCGTTGCCGTTGTTGTTGTTGTTGTTGTTGTTGTTGTCGTTGTCGTTGTCGTTGTCGTTGTGTTGTTGTTGTTGTTGTTGTTGTTGTTGTTGTTGTTGTTGTTGTTGTTGTTGTTGTTGTTGTTGTTGTTGTTGTTGTTGTTGTTGTTGTTGTTGTTGTTGTTGTTGTTGTTGTTGTTATTGTTGTTGTTGTTGTTGTCGTTGTCGTTGGCGTTGTCGTTGTTTTTGTTGCCGTTGTTGTTGTTGTTGTTGTGGTTGTGGTTGTGGTTGTTGGCTGGTGGCTGTTGGCTGTTGGCTGTTTGCTGTTTGTGGTTTGTTGGTGGTTGTTGGTGGGTGTTGTTGTTGTTGTTGTGGTTGTGGTTGTGGGTTGTGGGTTGTGGGTTGTTGGTTGTTGGTTGTTGGTTGTTGTTGTCGTTGTTGTTGTTGTCATTGTTGTCGTTGTTGTCGTTGTTGTTGTCGTCGTTGTCGTTGTCGTTGTCGTTGTCGTTGTCGTTGTCGTCGTCGTTGTCGTCGTTGTTGTTGTTGTTGTTGTTGTTGTTGTTGTTGTTGTTGTCGTTGTTGTTGTTTGTTGTTTGTTGTTGTTGTTGTTGTTGTTGTTGTTGTTGTTGTTGTTGTTGTTGTTGTTGTTGTTGTTGTTGTTGTTGTGGTTGTTTTTTGTTGCCGTTGTTGTTGTTGTCTGCTGTTGTCGTGTGTGCTTATCATGTGCCAGCATGTGGGCAGTGCGGCGAGTGTGCCCTGGAACGGGTGTTCGCAGTGTGGCGGGTGTGCGCTGGAACGTGTGTGCTTATCATGTGCCAGCATGTGGGCAGTGTGGCGGGTGTGCGCTGGAACGTGTGTACTTGTCATGCGCAAGCATGTTGGCAGTGTCGCGGTTTTGCACTGAAACGTCTGTGCTTATCATGCGCCAGCATGTGGGCAGTGTGGCGGGTGCGGGCGTCAACAACACAGCTACCCAACTACGCTGGTATTTGTGGAGGCCGCGAAGACGAAAGGTCACCAACAACGACGCACACCCGCCACACTGCCCACATGCTGGCGCATGATAAGCACACCGGTTCCAGCGCACACTGCCCACATGCCAGCACATGATAAGCACGCCCGTTCCAGGGCACACTCGCCGCACTGCCCACATGCTGGCACATGATAAGCACATACGTTCCAGGGCACACCCGCCAAACTGCCCACATGCTGGCACATGAGCAGCTCTAAAAACTCCCCGTTACATCCCAAGCAAGAGTTGTGTCATAACAAGGCGCCGCGTAAGCAAAACCCTTCACGGCGTAAGCCGGCGTAAGCACTTTTTGGGGAAACAAGCTGCGTTAGCACCTGCGTAAGCTCTTCTTCATGATTGCTTGGTAAGCTTTGTAAGCATGCTCGGAAGAGCTGTGCTTATGAGATTATTGGTGGCTTGTGCTGTTGCAACCTAGTCGAGCTTGGCAACTTGCCCGGAGACTTTGGCTGCAAGAAGTCGTCTAAGACCGCTTGTGCACATCAGTAAGAAAACAAAGCCAGCAGAACCTTGATTGGGAGCTCTTGGGGCTCATGCTAGGTGCTGTTGCAACCTTGACTAGGACAAACAAAGGCTTCTGAAACCGCTGATCTAGGAAAACTAAAGGGGCTCAGGCGCGTAAGCTCGCGTAAGCAGGCGCGTAAGGTTCGCGTAAGCTCGCCTAGCTGGGCTGCCCGCTAGCCCTCGCGATGGATGCCGCTGCCGCATAACCCGTTTCTTGACTTGCAGCAATAACAACACTGCCAAGCCGCTGAGACTCGTGAGGGTAGTTCTTCGTCATCTTCTTCCTCAGGGTTTTGAACAGCTCTGGCGTCTGCATGAGAAAAGGAGCTCGCGTAAGCAATTCTTGAGGGGAAACGCTCAGAACGCCCACGCGCAAGCCATGCGTAAGCTTAACATGCTCGCTGACTGCCGCGTAAGCTAAAACATGGGTCGCGTAAGGAAAGCGCAAGCTCGCGCGTAAGCAACTTGATACGACATAGGGATTCATGGGAGGTTTATAGAGTCGCTCACATGATAAGCATAGACGTTCCAGTGCCCACATGCTTGCACATGATAAGCACACCCGTTCCAGGGCACACCCGCCACACTGCCCACATGCTGGCACATGAAAAGCATACACGTTCCATTGCACACCTGCCACGCTGCCCACATGCTGGCACATGATAAGCACACCCGTTCCAGTGCACACCCGCCACACTGCCCACATGCTGGCACATGATAGGCACACACGTTCCAGCGCACGCCGGCCAGACTGCCCACATGCTGGCACATGATAAGCACCTGTTCCAGCGCACACCCGCCACCATAAGCACACCTGTTCCAGTGCACACCCGCCACACTGCCCGCATGCTGGCACATGATAAGCACACCCGTTCCAGTGCCCATCCGCCACACTGCCACACATGCTGGCACATGATATCACATGATAAGCACGCCCGTGTGTTGCAGGAGCTCTTTCCCTTTGTTAACGTTGGCTGAAGCAGGTTCCAGACCTTACATTCAAGCAGTGTGTCGGAAGCTCTCGTTCTTTTTTTAACGGGCCCCCCTGTTTGATTTAAGGTGATTTTGTGTAAGACAAACTGTTTCGTCGTTTCCCTTGTTTACGAAGCGCAGGTTTCAGACAGTCATATTGTCAAATCACGCACGCCTGACAGAGGCCGCGAAGGCAGAAGCATACCTTGCTGTTGTTCTTGTGTTTGTTATGTTTTGTTCTTGTTTTTGTTCCGCCTGTTGTTGTTTTTGTTGTGGTTTTTGTTGTTGTTCTTGTTGTTGTTCTTGTTGTTGTTCTTGTTCTCGTTCTTGTTCTTGTTGTTGTAATCAGGGGTCTTCAGTTCAGGCTTCGCTGGAGACAGGGAACGAGAAAGAGAGCCGCAATCTGTTTTTCTTTTCCAAAAAGTAACGCTTGTTGACTGAGCGCAGGTTGTTCCCTAATAAGGTTGAAAGAGAGGTCAGTGGGAGAAAAGACCATTCTAAAATAGTGTTGGGCTCCTTGGGTTTTTGGAACAACAACTTTATTCTTGGGGGTCCTGTACTATTAGTGGGAAAAGATTGCGTAGAATCATCGGTCTTACTACTTGGCTCTCAGCTGCCCAAGGCGTGTCGACCTTCTGGTTCCCCTTGGGGCAACAGTGAAGGATGGTCCGCTTGATTCAATCATCTTTCTGTTTCCATCATTTTCGCCCCCACATTCTTTAAGTTGACCTTGCCTTCAGATCTCCTCATTTGGCGCCTGTTAGGTCCCGAAAGGAGAACTGATTAGCGGTTGATTTCCATGCTTTGGGCCAGTGAGTCTGGCGTGGCTGGGAGAGCTGCCAGGCGCTAAAGATCCTGGGCTTGCCGCTGCCCTACTTGAGTGGCGGCGACTTTGAGCTGCGTGCCCCTGCAGTGACCGAAAGACCAAGGAAATGAAAGGGCTCAAGCCCCTTTTTGGTCCGTCCATGGACGCTGAAACTTCGATTCCTTCATGTGTGTGTGGCGTTTTGCGGAGTGGGTTCATTTGTGGTGTGTGTCCAATTTGCACTTCAATGGTTGGCTTGCGGCGTGCTTCCCTGAATTCACCGGGCAGTAATTAGCCCTGGCTTCCGACCAAATCTGTCGCATTCTATCGCTGCCTAAGGCTCACGCTGGCAGAGCCCGGCGATACCAAAGGGAGGGCGGCGGTACTTGCCCACCCTTAGCTTGCAGAGTTTGGAGGTTCGGTTGGACGGCGGGTGCGTTGAGCTGCAGCATCTCAGCCGAAAGGGTTTCAGCTGTTCTTTTTTGCAGCCAAAGTGTTTACCATTCTTGCCCTTGTTTTCATGGCCACTGGGCATTTCAGGAATTGCGTGCTTTATGGCCACGGCACCACCGAAGACTCCCCGAGAGGTGTTGGAGATTGCGTGCTCCGCGTGTCGAGCGGGACATGCCTGCTGGCGGACTGCCAGGTGAGGCTGCGGAAGGGTCATGCAGGATTTGGTGTGGTCGTGGGACCTGACATTGTGTTTCCATTTGGCATGCGGCCGCATGCCATGATCAAACGTACGGAAGTCGTGCACGCCGCTTGGCATGGAGGTGGCCCAGGGGTTGTTGCAGAATCGCCGTGCACTCGGACCAGCCCAAATAACTTGGCGGTTCCCAGCCTACCCTTGGACTTTTAGGCTTTTTGCGTTGCTAAACAATTCGGTGTGTGAATCCTTCGGGCGTCAGCTCCTACCCTCTGAGGCAACCACAGCTTGCCTGTGTTTCATGGGCGGCCAGCTCACCATTGAGGAGGGTTGTATTCTGCGAGATTGCCGGATCGGTGTAAGTGTGTGCGACCAGGCGGGCGCTTGTGCTGTGAGGTGCTTATCTCCAGGTCCTTAGGGCAAGCGAGTATGCAAGACTATGCCCAGTGTATGCCCTCCATTTGCTTTTGCGATTGGAGGGCTCCATCGCCTTTATAGTCGACAGCCTCCGGATGTCATGCAGAGAGGGCGGCCAGAAGTTTGAGCAGGCGCGTCTTGGGCGAGTGATGAATCCGCTTGGCATGGATTTCAGATAGAGTTGTGAAGCTTCGCAAAGCATAGCGTAGTTTTGTGTAGGTGAGCATGCGATGTTCTTGCAATGCGTTTTCATTGAAGAGTGGCAATCCCAGCTTTGCAACGGCTAGGGGCGGGCACCTTTGGTTAATTGCACTCGCACGCTTCTCCTACCATTCTCAATATCCTAGATGCAAGGCTAGAGGCCTACGGCTAGCAGGACACTACACAAGTCACAGCAGGCGCTACATTCAAAAAGCCAAAGACATTCACGGCAAGAGGGTCGCAGTTGCGAAGTACCCATGGTTTGGCAACTGTTGGACAAGGGCGACCAGATGGACCGTTGGATACCGTTGGATTCCTGCGTGCTTTCTCTTTGGTCCCAGAAGATGGATCAGAAGGTTTCTGAGCCCGGGCAAGCGAGCGGCCCAGTGCCCCGTTGCGAGGTATTCGGAGGCATCATTACCCGACCAGCCTTCAGCCCGCTTGCACGGATGGCTTCTTGGACTTTGGGTTGATGTTTTTTGCAGAAGTCACGAGTTCTCGTGAAAATTAGGTCGGCCCTCATGAAGTTCCTTTGCTAGACAGCCCTGATTCCCAATTGCGAATGAGATAAGTGTGTGCAGCTTCTGTTGCCCCAGGCATGCATCCCATCAATAACTCCCGTTTGGTTTCTTATTCTTTGTATCGTTGTTGCTTGTTGGTTTCGCTTCCTTTCCGTCTTGCGAGTCTCCATGTTGTTGCCCGGATGTTGGCTGCGCTTCCCTGCCTGCCCCTTTCGGGTAGTCACGCGGATTCACTTCCCCCTATTAGTAAATGCACCCATCCTCAAATGCTCCAATGCTAAACTAGAATTAGTCAATTCTAAGCCATTTAAACTCTAAGCCATCTAAACTCTTGGATTCATGTCGATCTTAGCCGCAGTCATATTAGCGGTCATTTTGCGGCAGCTAAAGCATTACTAGACAAGGCACCTCCAATTTAAATATGGTAACCATGGAAAACAACGCAGATGTCTACCTTCTCTAAGCAAACCCACGGATTGCAACGACATCCCCTGGGCCAAAAGTTTGGACCCCAGGCAGTATGTCTATTTGTGGGGGATTCATTACTAGGGGGAAGCAATTCGCGGGCACACCAATGTCAAATCCACTTGATATTTTGCTCACTGGAGACTTGGTGGGGATGCTGTTTGCGTGTTGCTAGTGATGGTCGAGCGCGCCGAGTGGCTGGTTGAATGTTTGGTTGGGTGTGCAGTCGATGCTGTCCGAGGCTTGACAGATGTGCTGCGAAATGCCTATGCCACCTGAGCATGCTGCCAGCGTACCAAGTGTATTCCGGCAATTGTTTCAAGATTTTGGCAGTTTCCGCCCCGCCAAGCGGCCCAGGGTTGAAGCATGGCCTCGAAATCAATCAACTCATCAGTACTGCTTTGCTGCCGTGGGCCTTGAAAAGAGGGTCCAAGTCCACTGAAGGTGGCCTCTGTGGTCGTGGCTTGCCTGTGCCAACTGGGAGGACATTTAAAAGTTGCGGCAGCTCGTGCCTCCCAGTTTTGGTCGGAGTATTGAGCTTTATGTCGCAAGTCGACTTGGCTCACCTGTCTTGAGATCGGGCTTGCCATGTCTCGGCCCCACGCTTACCTGGGTGCCAGAAGTAATCCATATTGAAGAAAAGCACAAGGGCCATGGAGCCCACGGAATGCATTCCCAAACCTGCTAGATAGTTCTCAAGGGGAACACATGGAGCCTCTTTGTTTCGAGCCCAGGATCCATGGAGCCGATGCCGCATGCCATGTACACAATTTCTCGAGGCGTGCTTTTAAGCTCCAGGGCCCAAGCACTGGAGCACCCCGCTGCCGGGATCCGGGTGAGATGCCCCCGAAGGAGGGAGGTATCGCCAGCACACGGCCAAGGCCAACTGGAAGTTGGGAAAGGCTTACTTGGAAAAGGGTTTGGCCCCTGGTGAGTTCTGGTTGGTAAGCTAAGCGTTTGTGGAGGTGTTTCTCCAGTTTGTTGAGCACTAGGGTTACGCACCCGCTTGATCCTGACAGCGAGGAAGAAAGTGATTGTGCTCAGATTGAAAGACTCACGATGCTGCAGATCCATTGCTCCAACAAAATGGCTTTCGAGAGCTGCTTAGTCTTAGTGGCGCTGAGAGAGGGAAAGAAAGAAGGCAGGAAAGAAAGAAAGAAAGGAAGGAAGGAAGGAAGGAAGAAATAGAGAAAGAAAGAAAGAAGAGAGACAGAAGAAAGACAGAGAGGCTGTTTTTCGGTGTGTTCAAGGTTCATTTTCATGGCTTCAACTTGCTTCAGGTCCTGGGTGACGCTAGCGGAGAGGTGATCTACACTCACGATCCTGATTGGGACCGGTGCATGAGGGTCGCCACATGAGCTCCAAGCGGGTCTAACAGGGTGACCGTGGGCTCAACACTCAATGTATTTTGAGCAGGCAGGGGGTGGGTCTGGACTTACTTTGAGTTCGGTCGCTTTGACTTCCATGGGCCGACGTGTTTCAAAATAAGGCACCCTTGTTTGGACAGCTGCGCATTCGACCAGGACGTGATGCCGGAGATGGCGGAGGCGATTAGGAGCGCGGGGGGCGAGGACAACTGCTACGCGGCCGCTGGCCCAAGAGCGCCGGGTCTGCCAAAAACACGGCTTGGTACGGCGAGCTGAGCCGAAAGCAAAATCAGGATTTCGATGGCCTACACGGGCCGATCCTGCCAAGGGTTCTCCCTACTGACAGAGCTGCCATGGACAATCAGGGGCTTTGCGGAGTGGAGTCTGCTTGTTGAGGGCTTTCGGCCGAATCAGATACGCACTGTCTTGGCCATTGGCATCAAGGATGTCATCTAGATGTGGACAGGGTCAGGTCCAACGTGCTCATGATGCCACCAGAGAACCCTCCTAGACAAATGGGCACGCGGCTTGCTCAGACGCAGCATGTCATTCTTGGACTGCTTCAGCTCAGCTGGACTCGGCGCTCGCTCCTGCGTCATGTCCACCATGGTCTCCAGCAGATCCTGGATATGGACTGCAGTCTGTTGCGTTTTTCTGACTTGCCCGGACGTCGCTGTACAAGCATCTCGCCAAGTCATTCTGCAGGATCAGGCGCCTGCTTTCCCACGCCGCGTGGATGTGTTCTTATCTTTATTTTTCTGGTAGTGCTTCATTTGAAGCAGAGAGCTCTCGGATCCAATGGTGGGAATATTAGGGATGTTCAGCCTTCAGACGGGAGTGCCACTGCCCGCAAGGACCACATTTTTGATTAAGAGGCTCAAAGCCTAAGTTTTCACGGCGCAAAGCTACTGAAACTTGCAGACTTTGAGTTGGATGGCGCCGGTTTGTCTCTTGACTCCCGCGCAGCTAAGTAGGGCCGGATTGTTTGTTGTGCCAAGGGCTATTGGGTCCGGAGCCATCATCGCGAGTTTGTTTTTTTCCTTGTACGTGACCTCGTCAAAATGCCTCAGTCCCCAACAGGTCTCTCACTCCTTGTGGTCATGCGGCGCCCCAATTTTTTGCGGGTGCGTAAGGACCCATCTTACCATCAGGTTTGTCCGTGTCACGATTGCAGGGCGCGTCCACAAACACTGCGCGGGTTGAGGGAGGGGCCAGGGACAATCCCAATCGCAAATAGATGCGTATATCAGCCCTGTTGATCCTTTAAACTTTTTCGGGTGGAGTCCTTTAATACCAGGTTTTACTTGTGACTGTTTTTTGCCAATGTGCTGTCACGATCACGTGGTTTCCCGACTGGGAGTTGATGGAAGGGGGGGGGGAGAGCACCTAGTTTTGGCCGAGGGCTCGAGATGGGCTGGCATTTGGCCAGAATCTAGATTCTGCATGTTTCTGCTGCTTCCTGTTCGGAATTGCCCCATGGAAGGGTTGGTTGGTAGTTTTGACACCGCCATATCTTGAACCGTGACATAAAGCAAAACCGAGGGCCAATAGCCCCGGAAAGGCTGCTTGCCAAAGCCCCTTGCTCTGAGGTGGCGACCCTGCCTTCCCATGTGCTCGCCTGAGATGAGAGGTGGTATGGGTGGCGGCTCATCATTTCCAAAACAACTGTGCGCACCCTCGACGAAACCAGGCCATTCCTGCGCAACAAAACACAACCAAACCTCAAACAACCACCAACACACATGCACTGGCACACACACACACACACATTTGTCGGTCGGTTTGTTTCCTCGCCCAAATCCCAGGGGATTTGGGCCGTGGGCCTGGCTGGCGGCTGGAAGCCCCGAGAGCCGGGGCCCCGCAAAGACGCTTGCGGCTGTCCCTTTCTTGGCGGGTTTAAAGCTCGCTTTTTGTGGCCCATTTAGAATGAGTTCTTTTTTGTGGGGTTGATGTGTTAGGGGGGAAGTATGGGGATCCCTGTTTGCTGAGGTTACCCTTGCAAGGTCGTTTGAAGGGAGGGCGAAAGGAAAGCCACCATTTGCGGGCCTCCTGTTTTGACACATACCCGTAAATGTGGCTATTGTGTCAAGGATTCTTGTGTTACATGCGTGGACAAGATGGATTTGGAAGAGGAGCAACTTAAATGTGCACCTTGTCCACTTTGGTGATTAAAACGTCCTAATATGGGTCGTTTCTACTCGCAAAAACAATGACCACGCTACGTGAGTTTGGCACCCTTGCCTGTGGGGGAGGGAGGGGGTTCAAAGAAGATCTTGAATTTGGTTTGTCGTGGGGCCTTGTTCAATCCTTTAAGCCGGCGTACCTATCGAGAGATCTCGCTTGGGGAATCCTAGGTGCCATTGTGGTGTTCAGATTTTTTCCCCAAACAGTGTGTCCACTGTGGGGTTCTTACGGTAAGAGTAAAGGCCCGGTGCTAGATCGCGGTGCCCGGCCTGGCCGCGAGCATTTTGCGTGGTATTCACCGCAAAATCGTGATGTTGTATGATATCGAAGTGCGTTTCGACTGCGCAGGCTCGCACAAAACGAGTACTGCACAATCGTGATGTTGCATGGTGCCGAAGTGCGTTTAGTTTGCGCAGGCTCGCACAGTTTGAGGCCCACGAGTCCGGTCGCGAGCATTTTGCGTCGTATTTACCGCAAAATCGTGATGTTATTTGATGCCGAAGTGCGTTTCGACTGCGCGGGCTTGTGGTAATTACCGCAAAATCGCGATGTTGTATGATGTCGTAGCGCGTTTCGACTGCGCAGGCTCGCAGAAATGAAAATGAGGCCCACAAGTGTGGCCGGGAGCATATTGATGCATATTGCGTGGTACTTACCGCAACGTCGTGCTGTTGTATGATGGCGACGTGCGTTTCGACCCCGCAGGCTCGCAAATGAGGCCCACGAGCCTGGGAGCGAGCATTTGTAGCTACCGCAGACTTATGATGTTGTATGATGTCGAACTGCGTTTCGGCAACACTGCGCAGGACGAAGTTCGTGTAAGTTTATAGTTATGGGCAAACACTCTCTTCGGTTTGCTGGTGGGTGAAGCATAGGCGCAGAAACATACAGTGACGCGAATAATTCCCCAACCATGCGCTTGCGTTGCGACTTGTTGTTGCGACTTGCTCTTGTAAATCTAGGGCCGTTGGCAGCGCGTCGCGTGCCTCAGTCGGCTTGTTGCACGGCATGGAAACCTCCAATTCCATGTTTCACGCATGAAAATGCTGGAACCACCCACTCCATGCCGTTGTTGTTTTACAAGCGCCCGCAGGATGCCAACACCAAACCAACACGGAGGTTGCCCGGTGCATCTCTTGCTTGGATGCTGTCATGCGAATCAAAACGAAGCATGGCTGGCAAGATGAGCCAATCCACTCCCCCATGACTAAGGGACACCAAGATTATGCGCCCTAGGAACCGCACCCGGCTCATTTTAGCAACCCGTCTGGGCTCTTCAATTTTCTTGAAGGTTGTCTCTGGTTGCAGGCAAATGCTCAAACAAATTATCCCGGCAAGAGACCCCAAACACTGACGCGCATAAACAATGAAGCTGAAGCTGACCCGAGGCTTGGGTAAGAGGCATCTGATGGCCAATTAGGAAGCACCATCATTTAAAACCTAAAGATCAGCTGATGCGTGAAGAGGAATCGATCCTGTTTTGCATGTAAGTTAAACGGGTTGAAACATATTTCGGTGATGTGCTCACGGAATGTAAGGAACCCTGTTTCGCATATCCACAAAGGTGGCACCGGCCTTTGTGTCTTCCATTCCGAGGGCTGCGTGCAAGCTAGCGCTGAGTGCCCGCCTCAGAGGTCTCAAGGCAGCGACCCCCAAGGGCTTTGACCAAACAGCAGTGGCGGGGTGCTGGTATGGTTCGCCTTTCGGGGCGGTGTTTGTTTTGGTCTGTGTCGGTTGTTCATTTGAGAAGTTGTTCAACCACTTTGGCGTATTCTGGTAGGGTTTTTGGCATGCCATGCCCGTTCTGGGCTTTGGTCAGCCCAGAATAAGAAAGGCTAGGGGCCCGACTCGCAGCGCAGGCGTAGCCTTGGTCACTGTCTCAGGGGACCTGGACCGCTTTGCTCAGTCGCGGGGCGCCCAGTGGGGCGAAAGCTGCCTGTCCAGTGCACGCAAAAGGTTCGGGCTTGCAAAAAGTGAATTCCGGGACAAGCTACATTTGTTACAGCCTTGCAGATGTTGCAGCAGCCTTTCGGCATTGAGCAATTTCGAATCTCCTTGATTCCTCGGCCCAGGTACCCGGACTTTGTGTCCTTCTGCCAAGTCGCCGGCACGCCTGGTGTCTGAAGCCCAGATGCAACGGTCCCCACATCGCAGACCTCTTGGATTGATTCCTACACTTGGACCGCGTTTCTTTCGCTTGCCGGTGTGGTAAACCACCCAGGGGCTGGAGTCGGAGTAGGCAAGCAAGGTCTCCCTGGCCGATTGCCCATCCAAGGCCCAGGAACCGGCCCGGTGCTCAGGGCCGGCCACTAAAGTGCTGTTGGCCAAGCTCCGAAGCCTTACACCCGCAGCATCCATTGGCTCCATTTGCATTCATTGCCGAATGTGTCGGCCTCTCACCAGTCGTCACAAGAATTTGCCGAGGTTGCAAAGAAGCAAAGGGTGCGCCCGGCGGCGAGGGGAACGGTCGGGCAAGTTGGCCCTTTGTTTGCCGATTTTGGAAAGCAACATGAGTGGCTCCTTTGCGGTTTCTGGACGGGGCATGGGAAGTTGTGCATCCGGCCTTGGCATCGCCAGGTAGCCGAGCCGGCAGCCAAAAAGGTTCCACCAGCCAAAGGACTGGCACGCGGGACATGTTCGACACGTAGTGCTCAAATGGGGGATATGTGCGAGGGTGGGCTCTTTAGGTTCGGGTTGGAGTGCCGATTCAGGAGGCGGAAGCATCCCCAGCAGCCAGGCACGGCTGAAGGTCGCTTGGGGAAGAGCACCGACTCAAGAGGTGAGCTTCAAGGCTGCATGATGCTGCATGCCATATCAGCAATCGCTGTTCGACGCGGAGGGTTGACCATTTCTAATCCGGGAAAGCACTAAGAAGGGTAACGGCCTCCTCTCGTAACGCAAGGAAAGGATTTGCGATTGCCATCAAACAGCCTAGGCAGCAAAACTCAGTCTAATAAATAAGGCAGGCACAACAGGCAGGGATCCGCCTGGTCGCGGTGCCCACATCCTTTTGTAGATTTTCCCCCTGAAGATGTCTTACCTCGATCCTGATGAGCTTGATAAAGGGGACTCAAGCCTGCTGCTTTTCGCCTCGCCATCCTCGCCCCCTTCACTAGCACACTGATACCCGGAAGGGCCAAGACTCCAAATGTGGCCAGGCATCCTTGTTACCAGCCGTCCAGATTTTTAGCGGATGAACGCGCTGAGGGAAACGAAGGGAAACGCCAATTTTGGACTGATGAAGTCTTCCAGATTGATCGGAAGCAGTTCCACTTTGAGTAAAACAGGGTAGATAGGTGCAACGAACGGCGCCAGGGCAAAGGAAAGAAGGGCGGCCTTTTCGGGGCAGCCAACAAGCCGGTGTCTTGGGGGCGACGCCGGGCTGCGAAGGGGGGGGTCATTTCCAACGCCCCATTGCTGAGCCACAGTTGGACAGTTGCCAGCCTCAATCCACTGTGGGGTTTGAGAGGTGTTTGAGTCACTTGAGTCTGTTACAATTTTTCCGGACGCTATCCAGGTTTCAGAAGCCTTTGCCTCGAGTGCGGGCCTCAGCGGGGTGTCCCCATTTTCAGCCACAAGCTCGTGCGCTGAGGATACCCCGCTATGGGTACAGCTGCCTCAAGCCTGCGCCTTTGTTGCACCAAATGAACTCGGAAGAATCAGTGCTTTCCGTGAGGAACAGCTAGCTCCTGAAATCCTGCAGGCAGGGCACGCAGATTCGTTGATGTCTTTGAAGGGAATAAAGCCGCCATCAAGAGTCCACGTGAGAGGGCTCGGGCATGGCCGGAGTGTACTTGGAAGCGCATGTTCAGGAAGTTCATGGTCATGGATGGGTTGGCTCGAAACCTCGGTTGCACGTCGGGCTTGCAGGCTTGAACAGGGCAATTCACCATGAGTTTCGACCAAGGATGATCAGGCAAGATAGATGCCCTCTGAAGAAAGCATGCAGAGCCCGCGCAAGCGCAGCGCCAAGTTGACAAGCCGAAGACAAATGATACCAATGCAGCAGTCTCGCAGCACCGTCCAAAGCTCCAGCAAGTTGGCAGGGTTCAAACGATTGATGCGGTAGACGCTGTTGCTGCCATGGGCTCCTTGAGCGCAGTCCTCAGTATGCCAGTTGGCTTTGTCACACAGTTGAGACGGGCCCGGCATGGCTATGCCGCAGTCCAGGGGCACCAGCTATAGGTCACGTATTGATATTGAATGATATTGACCATATTTACCCTTGGGGCATTTCAGTCACCGCAGTGCAAACACGCTGTGTGTTACGCTACTATTTGGGCTCCTGGCAGCTTGAGTTGCGGTGGGCACTTCGGGGAACAAAAGCAGCTAACAATTGCCACCACATCGCAGCAAAGAACCTAGCTTTTGTGTACAGTACCCGAACTTGCTGCTCTTTGCAAACTGAAGCAAGGTTCATGACTCATAGGGTCTATGAGTAATGACCACTAAAACCAGGAACGAAACTCGGACCTTGTTGCAACTACGATTTGTGCGTGTTGCATCTTGGAGATCGACTTCCGCTCAGGCAGACAAACAAGCGTCGACCGTGTAACTTTTCACATCTCAGAACGGCTTCAGTCAAACCATCAGGCACGTGAGCATGGCATATCCGAAAGAGAAGCAGGCAGGCTAGGGATAAGTTCACTACCGGAAGCAAAACACACACATTTGGCCTGAGCCTGAGGCAAGTACGTGCTAGTTGCGCGCACAGTTTTACTGGTGTGTGTGTGTGTAAGTGTGTGTGCTCGCGTCAGAGGCCCAGACCCGTCCCGCATGTTTTCCTGTGTCGACGAGCAAGTGTGCTTTTGTGTGCGCAGTTGAGTCACAAAAGACGAAAGGCGATGTGTCAGCGAACTTTAACCAATCGGGCAAAAACACCAAGAGCAAATATCAACACGCCTCCACCCACTAGGATCACCTTGTCCCACCAAACGACAGACGTAAACAGGCAACTGTCCAAGAAAGACGCCCTTAAATGCCAAAGATGGACAAATTGAGAGTCCCATGTTCTTTCTCCGCAGGGCTCAGAGCGAGCGTTCACGAGACGGGGGGGGGGGATGGCCATGGCTTTGCGCGTGCTGCTCCTTCAGCTGGGCCTGGCTCTGGCGGATCCGCAGAAACCCGAGAGGATCACTTCGGGTGTCACCTTGACCGGGGCAGAATTGTCTTTGGTAAAGGAGGGTTACACCGATTCATCAAACGAGCGATCAGATGGTGCTTTAGTTGGGGGGGTCCTTCATATCGGTAAATTTCAAAGATGAACAGGGGTCCAGTTCCCAACAAGTAAGACATAAGGGTTTCCCTTTAAGAGGGACACCCCTATCAACCAAGCTTTGTGAATCCTGAGTTCACACATGTTCTCATTGCCTTTGTTTCCCACCGGCGTCTAACAATTGGCTTTGGCAACCCCTATGCGTGGAAAGGGTTGCCATGTCTGGTTTGCCCGGTTGACCTCCCTCCCACTTCCGTGATACCCGCCAGGCTCTGGCAACCCCACAACCCAGGGTCAAACGCTGTTGCTTCAACATTCTCACAAGCAACTCGCACTGTTCCAAACAGAAGCTTATTCGTTTTGAAATGTAAACATTCTTAGGTGACATCACAGTTGAATGCATTCGAGGTGTTTGCAGGAAAAACGAGGTCCATAGCCTGGTTCAGCAAATGCGGAGAGGATCCGCCGAGACTTCCACAACCTCTTCGTGGTGGTAATGATGGGCTTGATCACCGCATGGGTAGCCAAGGCTGGTTCGACACAGCTACATGGGACAGTGTGCGGCCTGCTTGTGAGTTTGCAGTAGTCACTAGTAACAGTGCGGAAGAAATTGCGCGCAGTCGGGTGGTCGTGCGTGTTGTTGCTATTTGCTATTTGTTGTTGGTTCTGCCAGCATTCTATTCTGCAATGCTTGGTGGGCGGTTCTAAGCAGGAAGGCATCACGTCTGAATGCCAGAATTCCTGACGTTAAGGCAAGGAATCTCATGCTCGGTTGGGGGCAAGCCCTAGGTTGAATCCGATTCCGAGAGTCGAGGGTGTGCATATGTTTGCAAGTGTTGTGGAACAACCTCTGCTCCCCGTTTTTGCATTCCGCAAGCCCCCCCCCCGGATTGGAGGGAGCCTTACCGGACCAGCAAAGTGGAAGACGCTGTGAAGCTGGCAGATGAGCCACCATCAAATCCACAGATGTAGCGGGAGGAGATCCCAACCAGAAATGCGTAGAAGGACCGCCCTGGTTTCTTTAAGTAGGTGGGTGGTGGGTAGACTCATGTCATACCAAAATATCTTGGCCACGTGCCCTTTGAATTTGCGCATGTCTTACTTGTCATCCTTTGAACAGTGAGTCTCAGTGTTGGGAAATTTGTTTAAACAACCAGACTCGGACCCCCCCTTCAAAGGGAGGAAAAAAGGTTCTTGAAGCAGAGCTGGATTTTACAAATTTTACCAAGGGTTAGCCTAATCCTGGTCAGTTTTTTTCATTTTTGATGATGACCAGTCATTTGCCACCCTTTGACCGGTCATTTTGCTGGCTTTGTTGCCAGCCTTTGAGTCCATGTCTGGGCCATGGGCAAGCGCCTTCAAAATTTTGTTCACCCCTTGAATCGTCAATCTTTAGTTTTCAGACCATTTGGCCCAGCATCATGATTTTTCGCCCTTCTTCACCCTTTTCGAAGTTTTGACCTTGTGGTTTGGGCTTTTAGTTGGTTTTGAGTCACCCCAACTGCGCCCCAAAGCGGCTTTCTATTCTGTCCCACCCTTCTTGGATGCCCATATGTATCCACCTAATCCCCCCGTGTGCCCCGTTCAGACAATGCCATCCAACTCGGTAACTTGGCGAAGTCAGGTGATGTACCAGATCTTCCGTGCCGCGGAGGTGAACTTCCGGCTCACCCGGAGCCGGTCGCTGCAGCTGGAGGCCATGAGCATCTACGCCCAGGACTCTTTCGGGAAGGTTTTGGCTGGGACGGGGGGTCAGGGGAAGTTTTTTTTTTTTTTGGGGGGGGGGGGGGGAACATCATGGCTAATCGCTCGTTTGACCGGACCGGTGAGCTCGCCTTTTTCGCCATGCCCTTACACCACCCATCTTAAGCCACCTATCCTGAGTTCCGCCTTGAGCCAACCCTATGGGCGAACTAGTTAAGTAGGCCAACTGTAAGCGATTGGCTGGTAAATGTTAGTACCCTCTCACCAGCTGACGTGGAATCACTTTTTGCAAAAGGGACCCTTTAGGTTCCATGTCGGTGGCTGGGACGATGAGTTTGAAATCATTGCTTCAGACTCAGCATTTCCGAAAGGACTTTCAGATGCTCATCAGGCAGCATTTTAACCAGATCCTCCGCATCCGGCGCACAGTGCCACCAAAGCTGGTGGCGAGACATGAAGTGACGGCCCATGTGCACCCGGAATCCATCAGATGCCTGTGGGTTGGGGAGGAGGACTCCGGGGGTGGACCCATGGGCTTTGGTGTGGAATTTGACATTGATGCCTCTGTGCCTTGCTGCGTCCAGCTGTACTGGGGAGTCAACGCCCAGGCTTGCAACGAGTTCGTTCACAGGAGCCAAGCAGAGTCGAGCCAGAGCCGTCGAGGTAACTCCCTGGGGCCCCTTCGAAATCTTCGAGGTCGGTGGACGGGCGGACGGTCCTGCACAAATCCCGAGACCACGCGGTCGCTCTTGGAGATGGAGGATCTCACTAGTTCAAATTGCGTTGCACCTGAGGGCCGAAACGCGCCAGCCAGCGCAGAGACAGCAGAAGATCGGCTCTTTGCGCCATCCCAGTACCACTCGCAATCGCGAGATTTCTTCCTGCCGGCGGGCTGTGGACAGCGATACGTCACGCCGGCAGGGGACCTGATTCACCCTAACATGCTGTCGGAGTTGGACATGAGAGCAGAATGGCTGCGCAGTGGCCAAGAGCCGGCAGTCATTCCGTTGGCCATTGCAACTTGACAGTATACTACGTATAGCCATCTAGGGCCATCTAGATCCGAGCTTGTGGCTTCCCGCTTCTTTTCCAGCGTTAATTTTGAGTGGGCCTAGAGACAAGGTGATCAGCTAGCTGAGGTAGTGATCGCCTCAGGCTCCAAGGCGTCGACCTCCGTGCAGGGTCGCCCGGTGCTGGAGACCAAAGGCCAGATCTCCATCGTGCGCTTCACCGAGGGCCGGGGCCAGTCCGCCCCCTTCAACTCGGCCGAGGTCATCCGACAGCTCTGCTTCAGCGAGAACTCGGCCATGGAGGTGCAGGGCATCTACGGCTTCGAAGACGCAGGGGAGAGCGAGTGCATGATTTGCCGCTCGCCTTTGAATTTGATCCATTTGGTTTCCTTGGGTTTCAACATCGCTTCAACCAGCTTGGGTCTAGTTCCAGTGGCCCCAGATGAGTGAATATGGTAGATGGTTTATCCCAGTCAGAGGGCGGATGTTTTCTAACCACCATATTGCCAAGCCTTGTGTCTCGAGAGGCTACGCTCGCCCCAAGAATGTTCTTTTGCTGCCTTGTCGGCATTGCTCGGTGTGCCACTCCTGCCTGCGGTCCCTGCGGGATGAGAAGTGCCCTTTGTGCCGGAGCTCCTTTTCCAGTTACCTCACCTGCCCTTCCAGGCAGGGGGTGGGAAAGCAACATGTGTAATGTTGGCACTTGATTAATCAAGGGGGCTTGAATAACAGAAAGTGTTTTTCCTTATTCTGGTTCGCACCCATTGTTTAAGGGGACCAGAATAATAGAACTGTTTTTGGCCGCGAGGAAAATTCAAAAAAAACTCCACAAATCAATTTCAATTTTAAACAAGAGGAGCCCGGGAACCCAAAAGCAAACCAGCCTCACTCCCCATGGCATGTGGATCCCGTTGTTTTCCGGCTCAAGGGTCCGAAGGCAAACCAAGATTTAAGTTGTTCACAGTTGGGAAATCAACCCCAAACAGATGAAGAAGGGGAGCAACCGCGACTCAAGCACAGAGAAACAGGCAAAGGCACGGGTGAAACATGACAGGCCCCGCACTACATGGAAGGCACGAAGTCATCCGATTCATCATGAAGAACCAATCGCAGAAATCCGAAAATGGATCCGCACAAACTACCACTCCCAAATTGGAAGCAAGGCATAAGCTCGCTCTACACCCATCTGAAACAAGTCTGAGACACAGTGTTACAACACGATCTGAGTAGACCGTGGTCAGCTGTTCGGATGTTCATGCGCCCTTTTGTTTGGGCCGAGTGTGCTCAGCATATTCATGTCAACGTGCTTCCAGGCTGCTTCCAAATAAGTAGGGCGAACCCCAAGAGGCCACAGACTCTGAAGAGAGGGTTCGTCCTAGAAACACATTGGCGCCATTTGTTCGGGTCAGGTGTGCGGCAAAAAGGACAATCTTGGCGCACCTGGAACGCCGGGCTGTTCACATGGAGCCGTGCACGTGGCCTTCACAAACTTGCTTCGTAAGCTTGCTTGGATTCGTTAGTTTCTCCACCTATTTTCCCATTCGCAACCAATTGCAACCGGTGACTTTGTGGAAAGGGCCGCGCGCGTTGTCAATCGGATGCGTGTGGATGGCAAGTTGGGTGGATTCGTCGCAGGTGTGTGGAGACGGGGCCGGCGCTGCGCTTTTGCGGGGGGCTCGGTGTGGACAAGCCTCGGTCACTTGGTGGGTCTGACGCCTGTCTGAAACAGGTCTGAGACACAGTGTTACCACGATCTGCGTAGACCGGGGTCAGCTGTTCGGATGTTCATGCGCCCTTTTGTTTGGGCCGAGTGTGCTCAGCATATTCATGTCAACGTGCTTCCAGGCTGCTTCCAAATAAGTAGGGCGAACCCCAAGAGGCTGCAGCTTCTGAAGAGAGGGTTCGTCCTAGAAACACATTGGCACCATTTGTTTGGGTCAGGTGTGCGGCAAGAATGACAATGTTGGCGCACCTGGAACGCCGGGCTGTTCACATGGAGCCGTGCACGTGGCCTTCACAAACTTCCTTGGTAAGCTTGCTCGGATTCGTTAGTTTCTCCACCTATCCCATTCGCAACAAATTGCAACCGGTGACTTTGTGGAAAGGGCCGCGCGCGTTGTCAATCGGATGCGTGTGGATGGCAAGTTGGGTGGATTCGCCGCAGGTGTGTGGAGACGGGGCCGGCGCTGCGCTTTTGCGGGGGGCTCGGTGTGGACAAGCCTCGGTCACTTGGTGGGTCTGACGCCTGTCCGAAACAAGTCTGAGACACAGTGGAACCACGATTTGCGTAGACCGGGGTCAGCTGTTCGGATGTTCAGGCGCCCTTTTGTTTGGGCCGAGTGTGCTCAGCATATTCATGTCAACGTGCTTCCAGACTGCTTCCAAATAAGTAGGGCGAACCCCAAGAGGCTACGGCTTCTGAAGAGAGGGTTTGTCCTAGAAACACATTGGCACGTTTGTTCGGGTCAGGTAGCGCCGGGCTGTTCACATGGAGCCGGGCATGTCACGAGCGTCCACCGCGCCAGTCTCGCTCGCCGGCATGTCACGAACGCGTCCACCGCGCCAGTCTCGCTTGCGAGCGATTTCCGCATGTCACGAGCGTCCTCCGCGCCAGTCTCGCTCGCGGGCGGTTTCCGCATGTCACGAGCGTCCGCTGCGCCAGTCTCGCTCGCGGGCGGTTTCCGCATGTCACGAGCGTCCACCGCGCCAGTCTCGCTCGCGGGCGGTTTCCGCCTTTCACGAGTGTCCACCGCGCCACAGTCTCGCTCGCAGGCGGTTTCCGCATGTCACGAGCGTCCACCGCGCCAGTCTCGCTCGCGGGCGGTTTCCGCATGTCACGAGCGTCCACCGCGACAGTCTCGCTCGCGGGCGGTTTCCGCATGTCACGTCCACCGCGCCAGTCTCGCTCACGGGCGGTTTCCGCATGTCACGAGCCTCCACCGCGCCGGTTTCCGCATGTGACGAGCGTCCCCCGCGCCAGTCTTGCTCGGGGGCGAGCGTCCAGTCTCGCTCGCGGGCGGTTTCCCCATGTCACAAGCGTCCACCGCGCCAGTCTCGCTCGCGGGCGGTTTCCGCCTGTCACGAGCGTCCACCGCGCCAGTCTCGCTCGCGGGCGGTTTGCGCCTGTCACGAGCGTCCACCGCGCCAGTCCCGCCCGCGGGCGGTTTCCGCCTGTCACAAGCGTCCACCGCGCCAGTCTCGCTCGCGGGCGGTTTCCGCCTGTCCCAGATCTTCCAAAAGTGCTTATTTAATTTAAGAACTTTAAATGCCATGACTATTAAGCAATGTTTTGTTAATTAAGCATTGTTTATAATTTAAAGAAAAAATGCTTATTTAAGCAATGTGAAATTTTCTATATGCACCATATAGATCCATATGCATATGCACTTGTGTTTTGACGGGGATCTATCCCGTGCAATGGCACAGCATTTTTTGCAGCCAGCAGGTCGAGCTTGGAGTCGAGGCAGCTTGTTAGCTGCAAGAAACCTCCTCAGGACTTGGCAAGAAACAGCACGCATGCTAAATTTGCCTCCTCGTCTCCTACCCAGGAGCGCCAAGGTGTGTCCATAGCTCTCGTCCCGATATGTCCAGATCTTACTAGGATTGACATCATGCCTGGCCAATTCGACAAGCTGATGAGCTTTCGGTTTTACTCTGAATATCTTGTCTTCTTCAAAGAACGCCTCCAGTTGCCCAGCCAGCAATAAATATCTTTGAGCAGCATCCCTGAAAACAGCCTGGTCCCAAGCAGCAGAGCTCAAGCAAGTATACATGGAATTCAAAGCTTCTGCAGCATGTAGCATGGCCTCCTCTTGTGATATGACTGGATCTAAATATTTCCTGGCCAGCTCCAAAGCACAAGGCACAAGTGCTCGAGCCTCCCCAGCTTTTGCCCTCAACTTCGGCGCCTTAGCCTTGCCTTTGTCTTCATCTCTGAGCATTGTTGGCAGAAGCTTAGGCAATCTGTCAGTTGCTTGTACTCTGTTGTAATACTCCTGAATATCTGTGAACAGCTTTGCGCATCGGAGCAACTTGCTGACACCTCTGATCTTCTCACTCTGTAGGTAAAAGAATAAAGATCCCAACCAATCTGCTGTGATGCCCAGATCCACTGCATGCAGCCAATCCATTTTGCAGCAGCTTGTGCTAAAGCCTGGGCAAGAGAATAATCTTGAGATCATCTTATTCTGTTGCCTTTGCCTGATATAGAAATCCAAAGAGCGGATCAGTGGATACCTGACTTGGGCTGAATTCAGCAAAATCCTCCCAAGGGCCTCCAGAAAAAACAGGCTCGGGGGCGATTTAATTATCTATATATACCTCAAACAAAAACAATTACTTGAATTAGAATGTGCCCATAGGTACTTGGCAAAGGTGTGGCTGTCGAACTTTTTGAGGTCGGCTTTAGGCACATTGCACTGCCAGCAGATGTAGCCTGTACTTGCCCAAGATGGGAAATCTAGGACATCCTTGTAGCAAGCCCAGTCTGCTCTGAATTCAGCCAGGCAGGCTTTGATGCCAATGCTCTTGCGGGCCAACTTTCTTCTATAGCTATCAGAGTTCGTGAATGGCTGCCCATCATGTCTACAGCTTGGGAACACACCTCCTAACAGAATCTTGTAGGACCACTGCAAAACCTCGAAGATGCATTCAAAAGTCTTCTTCTTGTGCAGAAATTCCTTTGGAAAAGCTGTCAAAGGCAATCTGGCAGAATCGTCACCAAAGATGTTGAGAGAAATTGTTTCCAAAGTTTGAGACCGGTCTGAATTGAATGGCACCCCATCAGACCAAATGCCTGTGAGAAGCAATTCATCAGGATTCAATCCCATTTGCTGCAACTGCGCCAAATGAGATAGCAGGTCAGGCCTCTCAGGCAATACATTGCGCTGGTTGGCCAACATTGTCTCCGCAGAATTTAATTTCAAGAAAGCATGCAACAGTTCGTGGGGCAGCAGCATGGCCAATTGATGTTGCTGCTCACATTGCTTGGCTTGGTTCCACCCAGGCACTGAAAATTCATACACTGATGGCCACTTGCTATTTCTGAAACATTTTCTGAGCAGGTCCCTCTGGGCATTTGAGCCCGACTGATTGACTTGCAAATCCTGCACATGTCGTGCCCCTGCCTGGCAGCATTGTGGAGCAGTCGAGCTGATCTCGCGCTACTCAGCTCATTGTTCAGGAAAACATCCACCATGTCATGCCTGAACCTTTTCTCATCTGGAATGTCTGCAATGTCCTCTGAAGCCAAAGACCTCTTGTTGTACATACCAGCTCATGGCAGAATTGGATGTCCGGCAACTGCAAATTACATGCTATTGCTCATAGCCTGGCACTGCGCTAGCTAACATGTTTCTTGAAAAACATTCTGTTTACCGAAACATGCAAAGTTCAGAATTTTGGTGTCTACATGAAGAGAAGACCTAAAAGATCCCAAAGTTGTGTCTGATAGTCTTGCTTAAGCCATGCGCGCTTGCTCCCAATTATTAACACGCAACGTGCTGCACAAGGTCAGCGCAGCCTGCAAGCAATCAACACAACATCTGTTTCTCCAGCTTGCCGCAAGGGTGGATCCAGAGATCTCGAGCCGGGGCTTGACAGGAGAATATCCTCCAGCCGCCATGCTCACTGATCCAGGACTGCCTTGAAAGTCTTGATCATAGACTTGCCTCCTTTGTCATGTGCAAGAGCCTG